AAAAAAAAAAAGATAGGCCGTGATAAACTCAGACTGAATAAATGCTGTTGGCTGCTTAGCGGGAAAATAACGGGTAGGAAATGAACGCATGCGCGAAGCCTCCCGTTGACGGTGCACCGTCCTGTTTCCCCCCGTAGATATCGGCAAGGACGATTCCTGCAAAGAAAACTGTACTTGTTCCTCTTGCTCTCTGCGGGCTCCCGCCATAAGTGACTTGCTCAATGACCAGGACTTATTAGATGTGATCAGGATAAAGCTGGATCCCTGTCACCCAACAGTAAAAAACTGGAGGAATTTTGCCAGCAAGTGGGGCATGCCCTACGACGAACTGTGTTTCCTGGAGCAGAGGCCGCAGAGCCCCACCGTGGAGTTCCTGCTGCGCAACAGTCAGAGGACAGTGGGTCAGCTGATGGAGCTGTGCAGGCTGTACCACAGGGCTGACGTGGAGAAGGTTCTGCGCAGGTGGGTGGAGGAGGAGTGGCCCAAGAGGGCGCGTGAAGACCACTCCAGGCACTTCTAGAGCTCCCCTGCCTTCATCAGGCTCTCTGGACATTGAAACAACCACAGGTTAAGGAGGAATGTGAATCTGTGCTAAGAGTTTAGGATAAGGACACGGAATGGTGGACGCTGGTTTTCCCCAAAGCTAGTGGTCTTGCTGGGGGTACGTTTAATGGTGGTGGTGGATGTTTGTTTGTTTTTGCACATCTGTTTTAATTTAATATTTGAATCTAGAATTGGGGGAAATATTCTGTAGGCTCATATAGCAGCCAAAGCCTACGATCAGAATGGATACACTCCATAAAAATAAAATTATCCTCTCCCTTAAACACCGAGGAAGATTCCAGTGGGACCTTAGACTGTTCAAGGTCCCAGACACACATACATCACCACAGGTAAGACCTTTCATAATCGGCGGCAGTCACATGGCTTGGAAGAAGATGACAGGGAGAAATTACCCTGTTCTTCTGGTTTGTTATTTTTTTATAAAGTACTCGAGTGAATTAACAGGATGCTGTTACTGGGTGGTGATACCCTTTAGAACGTGTGTGCCATTTTTTTTACTCAAATACTTGTTATAACCTGTGGGCTACAATGTCATTTGCTTAAGTCTTTTTAAAAGAAATACAAAAACGTATGGTTATTGGGAGCACAGAGTCAGGAACTACTTAGGATACCCAAGGCTGTGGGAGTGATGTTTGACAAAGGGAATTCTCAAAACGCCCTTTTGTTATCTGTGACCTTTTTTTTTTTTTAAGAGACAGAGTCTCAAGTTGTTGCCCTGGGTAGAGTGCCATGGCATCACAGCTCACAGCAACCTCAAACTTTTGGGCTTAAGCGATTCTCTTGCTTTAGCCTCCCAAATAGCTGGGATACAGGCGCCTGCCACAATGCCTGGCTATTTTTTGGTTGTAGTTGCCATTGGACTGGATTCGAACCCGCCAGCTCTGGTGTATGTGGCTGGCACCCTAGCCACTTGAGCTACAGGCACTGAACCACCCATGACTTTTTTTTTTTTTGAGACGGAGCCTCAAGCTATCCGCCTGGGTAGAATGCCATGGCATCA